TGGCTTGGACCACTTCACTCTACCTTGGGGAGAACTACTCTCACCTTCACTTTCAATAAATCTGTAGATTGTCTCTTACTCCTGTGTGTCTTACTCAATTCTTTGTTCGGGACACCAAGGATCTAGGCCACAACTGGACACCCCAGTGAAAACTTCCGCTCTGTTGTTCAGTATCCTAATTTCTAAAATGGAAATAGAATTCCTGTTTGAAAAATTCTAAAGCTCTGCTTTGTCCTTTAGTCAAAATTCCTTCTCTTGCTTCTAAATGTTAGAAAATGAGAGTCTGTATGAAAAACAGTGCTCTATATGTGTAATAAGGATTGCAATGAAAAAATAAATAAATAATTTTTTTTAAAAAAAGAAAAGGAGAGTCTGATCTAATAATGTGTGTTTGTTCTTTCCTCAACCACACTCTTGTCTACCCCAACCTTCTGCTTTTCACAGAAAACCTACTTCATTGACTTGATTCAAAAATGAAATAGTCATGCCAGAAGTTCAAACTGAGCAGGAAGATAAAGAGGAAAGAAGATTGAAGTGAGGATTCCCCAGAAAGTGTTTAAAAACATTCTTCTGTGTGTGCGGTACCGGGGATTAGAACCCAGGGCCTTGTGCATGCAAGGCAAGTACTCTACCAACTGAGCTATATCCCCAGCCCTAAAAACATATTTTCTTCAGTTAAACATGGGTCCAATTCTGCTGCTATACTCCCCAACTCTTTCTTTGCAATGAACTTTAGACAAGTCACTTGACCTGAGTTTCCCTTTTTCACACATGCGTTTAATGATAGTATTTACTTTCAGGGAGTGATGTGAGAATTAAATGCATTAAAGGACTCACATAATAATTTTCCAGCAGTTAATTGGACAAGAAAATTTACCTGAAATCTTTGCCCTCATGATAAAAAAAAAAATACACTGAAGTTTTAGGGGTTGGGTTTATTGCCAGATGAGATATGCTATACCAACCTAATATCTTATTAGCACATGAACATCCAATTGCAGTTTCATGGGGTGAGATGTACTGATTGGTCAGGAAAGCAGGCTAGATCCTTTACCACTAGAATACTTGGGTGATAAACACAGTCTTGGTTTCCTGAATCTGACACAGTGGATAAAAGACGACATCTGCAATCTCATTAAAAGATAACAGATGAACTTCCTTAAAATCCACTTTTTAGCTTAATTTCATTTGTTTGAATCTTTTTGTCTGATGAGATGGCATTCTGAGAGTACTTTTAAATTGGTCTCCCTGGAATGAATATTCCTTTATCATTATTAGAACTCCTCCTATGAGGTTTTGTTATTCTGGGTGGTTTTAATATTCATCTTGGACAAGTACAATAAATCTTCCTTTAATATGTCTTTTTCCCTAAGACATGGTCTGGGGCTTTGGAAGACAAATACTGCATGAAGGACAAAATAATCAAACCAAGTCAAAGTTTCCAAGCCTTTTTCACAGTAGTTCCAAAATTTCTTAAGTTCTCTGTGATCCTATTATTTCTACTTCCTTTCATGATTTAGAATCAAGATGGCTCAATTATATTTTTAATTTTCTAGATCTATGACAGCCCTCGCTTTTATTTTACAGCTAAAACTAAAAATTTCCTTTTATGTTCTCATTCTTATTAGTACTAAAAAGTTTTAGGCAAAATTTTTAAAAAAATGGCAATGAGTTTAGTTCAATATTTCTTAAGATGTTTAACTTGAACTTCTTTCCTGGCTAAAATATGCATATAAAGTTTGTTAAGCTTTTAGTCTCTGAGTTAAAAAAATGTAAGGCGATTCCCATTCATTTCAACAGGGTAACATGTTGTTGTTTTATATTTTGAAGTCTATAAGTCTCGTGATCAAGCTGAGATTCATCATATGGGCAAAGGCACACTATATTCATTCTCAGCATAAAACCAACTATAAAACTGTATCCAAGATTGATATGAGTCATTTCTCTGAAAATAGGAAACTATCTTGTCTACTTTTGATATTTCATGGAATTTTGTTATCTTGTATGAATAATTCATATTATAATAATAATAGAACTTTAAATTTTTTTTTAAAGAGAGAGTGAGAGAGGAGAGAGAGTGAGAGAGAGAATTTTTTTTAATATTTATTTTTTAGTTCTCGGCGGACACAACATCTTTGTTGGTATGTGGTGCTGAGGATCGAACCCAGGCCGCACACATGCCAAGCGAGCGCGCTACCACTTGAGCCACATCCCCAGCCCCCAGAACTTTAAAATTTAACTAGTTGCTTTACTGATGCATTTAAAAACTTGTGTTTCATATTTATTAAAAAGCATTTTTTTTTGTTTTTTTTTTTTTAAATATATGTTTCATCAGAGAATGTCCCTTTTTGCATTTCATTCTACCCATCACAAGGGAACTTCCTTAGTTCCCAGCACTGGGACTTTCTCCTTACCTCTGTGTCAGCAAAGTTCAGTACCCTCTCTTATACGGAGATGTTTTCAGGGACCACTGCTAGGAAACCTCCAAGAGGAGCAAGAGTTTTGAACATCTTGCTCCCTGCTCTATCCCCAGTCACTAGATAAGTGGCTGGTAAACCAAGACACAGTAAATAATTTGTGAATGAAACAGTAAACAACTTTCTTCCCCTGCTGTGTTTGGGACCCTTGTCACCCTTGAGTTAACAACTCACTGCCTGAGAACATGGTTTTATACTGGTCTTTCTTACTTTCCTGTGATGCCTTGGAAATGAACCTTTTGTTTCTGGATTGCCCTGAAGTATTTCTTAAGCACCTGGCCTGTGTATTCATTTATTTTTATTCCTTAGAGTGGAATACATGATTGCTTATAATTGGGACAACCTTGATAAATATTTAAGTAAAGGCATTATCTTGTAAAAATAAATAAATAAATATCATGGATTAAGGTTAGCTTGACTAGGTTATACTCAACATGGGAGAAAATTCTTTGCAAAGTAATTAATGCTTATATACTTTAAAGAAAACTGCAGCTCTTTCTAGCTTATTATAAAGTCTCATTCCAATCTAAATAGATGCAGTTTCTCTTAGAGGCTTAAAGTGATAATGGGGCTTCAACATCATAAATTATTAAAATTTCATGTCTATACCCTTCTAAATGGGCTTAACACCTCTAATAAACCAAAACCACCAAATGGTTTGCTTTCCCTGTTCTCTTAATTCTACAAGGGGGAAATCACTACCAGAATGACACACCAGGGAAGAAAATAGTCTTTCTAATCTAAGAAATACATCCAAGTTCTCAAGGCTCTATCTTTATCCAGAACAAGACCCTGGCAGGATTGAGAAACTATGTATCAAATTGTATGTTCTCTGCCTGCATTCAAGTTGCTACAACAAATAGACATTGCTCACATCTGCTCTCTTTCACCCAAAGGTTCTGCTTATAAGGAGGAGGACACATCTAAGAATAAGAGAACATTGTGCCTCTTCTGAATACCTGGATAACTCTTCCTACAAATAAGTCATGGATCTCAGAGATATGTACCAGTTTTCACATTAGGTACAAGAAAACACAGAGTGAATTTTGAGGTATACACCTTTAATTATTCTCTGAGTCCTCTCTATGCTGTGTGTGTGTGTGTGTGTGTGTGTGTGTGTGTGTGTGTGTGCACATTCACGCTTGGTGAGGTGGAGGGTAATAAGTCTTTCTTTATGATGACTTTTAACCCCCCTCCGCTGGAGATGCAACTTAGGGCTTGTTGCATGCTAGATAAGCATTCTACTACTGAGCTACACGCCCAGACCCCTAAAGTTGATTTTTTATTTGCTTCTGAAGATTCCCTTTACCAAACTCCTTCAGGAATGTATTCTCTCCCTTTGTGTATAACTTTGAAGACCTAATCAGGTCCTTCCTGAAAAGAAGATATTCAGATAATGTGCAAAATTTATTTTGCTCAAAAATAAAATGAATGTCATGACACTTTTGCAAGTTTTTGTACAGTATTAAAAAGTTAAACTAAGTAAAAGCTGTAAAAGATCATGTCTTACTAAATCTCAACATTTTGCAATAGCTTAGAGACTCAATGGTGGATCCATTAAGTGCAAAACATTTATGCTCATTAAAAATTAATAGAAAGACTAAAGTGTTATTTAATAAAAAACCAAACCTCCTCCCCTACAGAACAGCTTAAATTTTTAAAAATATGAAATATTTCATTGAATTTATACCAAAGATATGTTTAAATAGTCTGACCACTATATAAAGTATCTTCAAATCTAGTAAGTACAATAAAAATATTTGTGGTCTCATATTTTCAAAATTACATATATATAGATATATCTATTTCTATATATCTATCTATATATATATTTATGTTATTTTTGGTACCAGGGATTGAACTCAGGGGTACTTGACCACTGAGTCACATCCCCAGCCCTGTTTTGTATTTTATTTAGAGACAGAGTCTCACTGAATTGTTTAATGCTATACCATTGCTGGGGCTGGCTTTGAACTTGCAATCCCCCTGCCTCAGTTTCCCAAGCCTCTAGGATTACAGGCATGCGCCACCTCACCCAGCCCCAAATGATATATATTGAAAGAGCAACATTCTCTTCCCTACTTTCTGCATATGAATATGTATATCTACAGTCTGAATATGTCAACAGTTATTTCTATATTGTATATACAATACAATATGTATCAGTGTTTATTTCTTCATAGTGTACAGTTCTTAATTTTTTTCACTTACCCTTTCAACTAAATCTTTTTCCATGTTTTAAAATATAAAACATTATTTTAATGGCTGAATAACAGATACAAGATATCAAAATATTTGGAAATAAGAATATTTGCTTCCCACATATCTTAAAAACATTGGTAATTTGGGATTGTGTAAGGAAATTTTATGTTGAGGTGATACACTGAAGTGCTCCTTGGGAGCAATAAAATAAGTGCCAATGCCAAAATATCTAACAGAAACAGGGACATTCATCACATGATCAATAGGGATAAATTGAATCCAGTCAAATAAGGAAAAAAAGGAATAAACCCAGGCACTTACTAATTTCAGTTGCAATGATTGTTATGTTATGCCACACACTTAATTCTCTGTCAAGTGGTGTTGCCAGAGTGATCTTCCCATCATCTGCATTAATGTTGAACTGTCTCTCCAGGTCAGTGTGACGGTCGATGGAAAACCTACAAAACAGATATATCTGTAATCTACTTCAACATTTATGTGATCCATACATTCCACGGCAGACCTTTAGTAATCCTCAGAGAGCCATAGTTGTGAAGTCTAATGAATTGGGAAACTCTGTGGCATCATCATTTGTTAAACAAAATGACTGAATGAGGCACAAGGAACTTAATAATTATTGTCTAAGGAGCAATTAGCTACATATACAACATGGAGGTCACAAACTGCCATTGGTTTCAATAGGTAGCATCTTCAAAAACAGATACTGATGAAGGGCTAATTGGACAATCAATCACCTTTATAGGACAGCTTATGATAATTAGTAGTTGCCACAAAATATCATATTTAACAATGAACTCAAGCCCAAAGTAAGATGGCGCCAGGCAGCAGGTTATCCATAGCAGATTAAGGTAAATATATTCTTTGTTGAACTTTTCACTCCACCACATTTCTCGGGTCTTCCTTCCATCTCTCTCTCTCTCTCTCTCTCTCTCTCTCTCTCTCTCTC